AAGCTACACAGAGAAACCCTGTCCCGAAAAACCAAAAAAAAAAAAAAAAGCCCAAATTCTTGCACATACAAATCAACAATGTTACCACGTTTTTTCATAAAGCATATAAAAGTGGATAATGCCTACTTATGACTAACTGAAAGCGTTTTTTTTTAAAAAAAAAAAACTCTAATCAAGGCCCATTTTAACCACATTAATGTCATAATAAATACCACAATTGATCAAGATAACAATCACCTTTGTGCGTTATCAAAATTTAACAAGGAAGAAAAACAATGAAGAGAAAACTGGGAAGGAAAGCAGGCTATCCATGGGTCCGCACTAGGTCCTCTGTGTCTATGTTCTGGTTGGTGTTTTTGTGGGACTACTAACAAAGGGAGTGGGGGGATTTCTGACTCTTTCATCTGCTCTTGGGACCCTTTTCCTCCTACTGGATTGCCCTGTCCAGCCTCAGTATGAGGCTTTGTGCCTGGTCTTATTGTATCTTGTTATGCCACGTTCCGTGGATATTCCTGGGAGGCCTGCTCTTTTCTGAAGAGACATGAAGGAGGAGGCTGGAGAGAATGGGAGGAGTATAAGGAGGGAAAGCTGAGGTCAAGATGTATTACAAGAAAAATTTACAAAAAAGAAAGGCTATTTATCACATGAAAAAATTTACTTCTTATTACTCTTTATGATTATTACATTTTTACCTAAAATTATTACTAATGTATCAAAAGGCATACAACAAGGTAAAGTTAGAGAGTGAATTAAAGTTGGAGAGTGATAAAGAAAAGGAAAAAGGGAGTAAGTTGTGTGCAATTCAATTAATATAGCTTAAGTGCTGAGGCCCAGGCCAAGCACAGACCTTGTTTCAAAGCATTCTGAAGGATGGTGACTTTGAGCTTAGTTTGTTCTGACTTTCTTCTGAACGAGTGTGCCCACGCATACGCTCATGCTCACACATGTATTTATAAAGGGTGGGAGGACCCACTGTAATGGTTTTTTTTGAGGTGGGGGGGGGGGTTGAGACACGGTTTCTGTGTAGCCCTGGCTGTCCTTGAACTCTGTAGACCAGGCTGGACTTGGATCACAGAGATCCGCCTGCCTCTGTCTCCCAAATGCTGGGATTAAAGGTGTGCACCATCACCACCCAACATGTAATACATTCTTAAAATTTAAGAACTTTTTAAAGCTGGAGAGAGCCGAAGGAGGGAAGGGAGTAAGAACTGGGATTGGTATGTAAAATGAGAAAAGATTGTTTTAAAATAAAAAAAAAAATCCAAAAAGGGGAGGTTTATAAACTAAATAATAAAACAATCTAAATTAGCCATTCAAAACAAACAAAAGATTAGACAAAAAAGAAGATGCATAAAAAATAAAACACTGAACAAAGTATTAGGAGATTGATTACTTGTGTAGCATGGCAATGGCTTCTCTTGTTTTCAATTGGTCAAGTCCAAAAGTTAAAGCAAAACGTCGAGCAAGTTCTTTTATACCACTAAATGTTGAAGATGATCTATCGAAATTATAGCCATTCTCTTGTATCATCTCATTAAAAAGCTGTTTGAAAAAAAGACAATGTCAGTATTTTTGATAAGTATGAATTAACATATTTCAGGCATACTTTCCAATTAAAATATAAGTTAGATAAATGATATATAACATCAATAATACCAAAACCACAGATTTAAAAAACCATGATACAAAAATGGGCATAATTGCATCATATCATATATTTAAAATAGAGCCATCTTTATTGGTGTTCCAAACTCTTTAGGTTAATTTTGTTAAAATACCCATCAGTTGGTATTAATTGGGTACAAACACGTATTACAACATAAGGAAAGGAAAAACAACTATGCTCTGCTTTTGTGGTGATGGTGATCAAACCCAGAGTCTCACGAATGCTAGCCACTGTATTGCTTATCTCCAAGTGGTGAATCTTTGCACCACAAACTTTCATAATAAAGTAGCAAAAGCTTTTGAGTTTTGATATCCTGTAACTTGTAATCCAAAGACTTGATCCAAAAGAAATATTTATGTACAATACTAAGCACAAAATATTTAGTCCTATTTATAAGTAACAAAAGACCTCAATATCTCGGTTTAAAAATTATAGTCCATCTACAAAATGGAGTATTATACAACTATTAAAATACCAAGGAAAATAAAATTATTATTTCAAAGAGATATCAACACTCCTATGTTTTCTATATAATAGCATTAACAATAGAATTAACTTCATTGTCCACACATAAAGGAGCATGTAATGTACCACATACATATGCATGTAAACACACAAAAAGAGTTATTATTCAGCATTTGAAAGGTAGAAATTTTTTAAAGGTACAAATTGTATGCCATTTGCAAAAGATGGGATGAACCCAGAAGACAATCTATTAAGTGAAATAAGGCAGGCATAGAAAACCAAATACCATATGGTCACACTTAATAGAACCTCACCAAGTTGAAGCCAAAGATACTGACAATAAAATGGTTACTGCCACAAGCTAGAGCAGTGGAATAGGAACCATCAATTAAAATGATTAGGTTCCAAAGACCAACTTTACAATACAGAGAGCACAATTAACAATGAGACAGTTACTAGAGAGAGAAGGATGTGGCTGAGTGGTAGAGAGCATCTGCCTAACAAGCACAAGGCCCTGTGCCCTCCCCACACACAAAACCACATAAAGATGTGCGCACACATTTTCTTGTTCCACAAAAATATTGTATACTTAAACAGTGTTATTCCGTACAGTGGCACAGACCTCTAAAAACACCAGCCCTCAGGAGGCTGAGACAAAAGGAATTTCAGGACAGGATAGCCTGGGCAACAGGTGAGACAGACAATAGCAAGATGTTTTAATTAGTAAAGGTCTTGTCACCACACCTGATGATCTAATTTGATCCCCATAACTTACAAGGTAAATGAAGAGAACCAACTCTCCCAAGTTGTCTTGTGATCTGCATATGCACAATTTGGCATGTTTGTACGTACACACACACACACACACACACACACACACACACACACACAGTGTAGTGGGGAAGGAAACTGGAATATGGCTTACTGGATCAAAGTTCAAATCCTAGCATCCATATAAAACCCAAGTGGATATGGAATTCTGCCTATAATCCTAGGTTAAGCAAGGTCCAGGATCAGTGAGAAACCCCAGCTCAGTAAGGCAAATAATTGAACACAATACTCAAAAGAGAATCAATGTCGGGCCTCCACACTTATAACTGCATACAGGTGTATACATACATATACATTTATGGACACATGCTCCACATAGACATACAAAAAAGAAAAAGAAAATTTCTCAGATAAAAATTTTCTTATTTCAAGTTATGAGGTAATGAGTGAGGCAACTAGCCAGAGTCAATCATTTCACATGTGTGTATAAACTTCATGTACTACTACTGAATAGGTTGAATATTTTGTGTTGCTACTTTATGAATTGTCTGTCATATCCTCTGCCCAGTTTCAATTATTACATTTTTAGTGATTGACAGTAATTATGTTAAGCAAAGCGGATACTCGGTCTTACCTGCTGCAAACTGAGAATAAGGGTCTTAGCACATTGAATTTTGTCAATTTGCCTTGTTTTACTCATTGTTTCTTTGATGATATCTCCATAATCATTATAATACTAGAAAAAGAAATTAATGCAAATTAGAGTTTACTCTCTGAAAACTATTGGACAATGAGACTAAGTTTATGTTAATTCTATAAGAACAAAACCATTTGTACTTTCAAAGACAAGAAATTTTAAAACTAAAGTTTTAAGGTCATTTCTAAGACATTGCCTTGAACTTAAGAAAACATTTGAAAACCCCAAACTGTTTAAATAAAGAAGGCATAAAGTAAAGTAATAACTAGGTTATACTGAATCTCAGATGTAACACTAAGTTTTAAGAACAATAAATAAAATCAAAGTTACTCTCATTGTTAATGAGATGTAAGTCAACTTATTAATTTGGTTTATAGAATAAACCTATGAACAACATTTGAAAGAAAGTTACTGTGACCAAAATTTAAAACAGTGGTTTTAACACCTATAGAAATAACTACCAATGATAAAAGAAGAATATACAGGAAAAATGCACTGTTTTTGAGACAATGTCTCACTAAGTAACTGTGGCTGTCCTGGAACTCCCTATGTTGACAAAGCTGGCCTCAAACTCACAGAGATCTGACACAAATTATGTATTTTTTCAGTTGTGCCTTATAATAAAGTTGAGGCCAAATACTGAGATAATAAATATTCTCCATGATGCAAAAAACTGACCTCAACTCAGAACATCTAAATCTAAAACTTTCAAATTTGTTTTAAAATTTTTATGTGCCTTATAACGTAAAATTAATTAATCATGCCAAATGATATAACTTCCAAACTACTTTTAAGTGATGCTAAGCCTCTTTCCTATAGTAAAATATTCAAAATAGAAAATTAAACTGGCCTTAACAAATTATATGTATTTTTATTTGTAGAGAGTAAAGACACTGGATGTAGTGGCTCAGGCCTTAATTCCCAGTTTGAACACAGACACACATGGGTTCAAAGCCAGCCTGGTCTACATAGTGTGTTCAGGACAGACAGAGCTAAATAGTGAAAACCTGACTCAAAAGAGAAAGGGAAAGAAAAGCAAGTAAAGACTTCAAAAAAATTTTACATTCAAAATATGTTTTTACTTGAGAAAGTATCTAGAGCATCCCTTAACACGGGCCATACTCTTTTAGTATAATTAACAATATTCTCTGTAGTTAGTCCTGATTCAAAATGAGAATAATCTCACATATATTTTTGGAAGTTATGAGGAGCCTCTAATTGCTAAAGAAGTATTTTCATCATGAATGCAATTTCTTATGATTACAGTTAACCTGGGATGGCTCCTTTTCTAACATTCAAAATGGAAATAATCACAAACTAAAATGTCCATTAACTGAGTACAGATAAGAGAAAATGTTAACTTAAAACGCTAATTGCTTGAAGATGAATATTTATACTACGCAAAAGTAATAAAGTATTTAAAAACTTGCAATGGTGCCTAAACAGTCAAGCCATTATCAAAACTTCTTTTAAGCACAAAAATAACTATCTACAGTACATTTTCAGCCTTACCTTCATATACTGCTTGAAGATAGTGGCAGCTGTGTTCATCTCCACCACAGTATATACAATTAGCTTACAAAATGCTGCAAGTAAATTTCTCCTCTTGTGCAAAGCTTCAATTTTACTGGCTTCATCCTCTTGCTGACCATCTGTGGGGGGAAGGAAAGAGTTCCAGTAATAAAACCACCTTGGATTTTACTGCAATCATATTTTTTGACATATCACACACATTGGCCCTCAAGAAGCATTAAAACCAAAACTAAATGTCACAACTACTCAAATATTCTAATATACTACATTTTTTCGATATCAAATAATCACCATGGAAGGAGCAGATGAAACAAGTAAAAAGAACTAATTAGTCACATTAAGCTCATTTAATTCATTCTTATACTTTCCCAACAAAATGACTTGTCAAAAAGACCTGCATATTCAGAATCTGTTGGTAAAGAAGTCTCTTTCATTGACAAATTAATCTCAAAAAACTCCTATCATTTCCAAAGATGATCTCACCCTACTTTACTTCTGATTTGTTCTAATACACTGTTCTTATTTGAACTGGCCTAGAACTCTCTAAGTAGACCAGGCAGGCCTCAAACTCAGAGATTTGCCACATTTTGCCACAAGAGAACCTCTACCCAGAGATTGGAGGTAGAGCAAGAGAACAGATAAAGTTCAGAGTGCCAGCTAGCCTGATACAGCAAAGGTGAACATGGATACCTTTATTCAAAGTGTGAGGACTGACATGTAACGTATGTGTGGGTATACACAAATTAACACAGATACAGTAATATAAGCAAATACACACAATGGTTTCCCTGGGAACACATTTCAAATTGGAAATTAACTATTAACAAAACTATGGCACACAAAAGGAAACTAGAAGAACCCCACTATTTCAGTTTTGTTTGGTTATTAGCTCTTCACAATCTTTTCAATATCTTTATTAGCCATTTATATTTTGCTAACAATCTGTTAGTCTATAACCAGCTAGCCTTTCAATATCTGAACAACCCCTGAAGTAATCCTGACACCCAGTAGGAAATTATCTACCTCAATTATTTTGGGTATTAATGACTTAAAGCAGAGCATAAAGAATGCTAAGCCATAATTCTATCAATGAGTTATACCTGAAAATTCTAAAACCAAGTTTTAATTTAAGACAGAACATCAGCAAAAGTTTTATACTAAGTATATGTTCCATTATGCCAAAGCCATTTGCCCAGAAACTTAAAAAAAGTTTACATTAAACTCACGTTTTTAAGATTATACTGAATATTATAAATTAACTTAATATCCATTACAAGGGATCATTTTTACATGATTTTCAGGCATTAGTTAATAATATTCAAAAGAACATGAAGTATGGGCTTCCTTCTACAGATTAAACTGGCCAAAAATAGAATTTTTAACTGGGCAGTGATGACACACACCTTCAGTCCCAGCACTGGGGAGGCAGAGAGGCAGGGGAAATCTCTGAGTTGGAGGTAAGCCTGGTCTACAGAGTGAATTGAATTCCAGGACAGCCAGGGCTAAAAGGAGAAACACTGTCTCTGGGGGAAAAAACAAACCAAAACCAAAAGAGGGAGGGGAGTTTTTAAACTGATATTTTTTCTTTACTTCATGAAAAAAAAGAATTCACCTCTTTTATTATGAGGGTTAAAAAATAAAGAGTATAATTCAGGTAGTCATCAATCTGATTACAGGGAAGGCAAGTTCAAGGTACCTTCTCCACTAATGCTTACGGTCTTAGTTGGGGTCACCCTTGTGGATTCCTGAGAATTTCCTTAGTATTATATGAATTATCATCATACAGCCTTCATTCAGCAGCTTATGGAAGCAGATGTAGAGATCCACAGCTAAGCAATGGGCCAAGCTATTAGAGTCCAGTTGAAGAGAGGGAGTATCGATAATATGAGCAAAGGAGCAGAGGATATCTTAGGGAAACCCACAGAGACAGCTGGTGTGAGCTGCTGGGGGCTGGCTGACTGGGGACTGAAAGCTGGGGAACCTGCATAGGACTGAACTAGGCACACTGAATGTGGGTGACAGTTGTGTGGCTTGGGCAGTCTATGGTGCCACTAGCAAGGGAACCAGGATTTATCCCTAGTGCATGAACTGGTTTTTTGCTATGGCAGTATAGCTTATTGAGCCTATATAGAGCAGGAAAGGCCTTGTTCCTGCCTCAATGTGGAAATGGACCAGACTTTGTTGACTTCCCATGGGAGGTCTTACCCTCTGAGGAGTAGATGTGGCAGTGGGGGAGGGAGGGGGAGGGGAGGCTGAAGGACAGAAGGGAGAGGGGGGACCTGGGATTGAGATGTAAAATAAAAAATTTTAAAATTAAATAAATTTTTCTCATAGAATCTTTCAAGTATAGGATCTTTCCATCTGAAAATAGAGGTAATTTGGTTTCTTTCTCTATCTGTATCCCTTTTATTTCTTCCTCTTATTTTTAAGGCTAAGACTTTGAGCACTGTATTAAACAAGCATGGAGAACATTTGTTTCATTCCAGACTATAGAAAAATGCTCCAATTTTCCCCAATTTAGTCTAACGCTGGCTATCAGATAGTCATATATAAGCAATTCAACTATGCGACGACCTGTGGCTAAATTACACCACACAAAAGAGTATACAATCCAACTTCACTCTTACATTTATATTCAATAAAAGAACTTACACTATTTTTCAAGTAAATAGTGTATTTGTTGTAAAAAATCTGTAATAGGGGAAATTAGGAAATGTAAATTATAGTGGTCAATTCTTATGCTCAGTGGTTGAGTTGAATCAACTGCGGTTACATGTCAATACTGAAAAACAATCTCAAATTTTAAGTTTGCTGTAAAACATTCAACATATCATTTATATTGAAGTTAACAACAGAAAATTACTTAACAGAAAACTTCTAAATAAAATGGAAATACACGATGAACACCGAATTTATGACAGAGGTTATTTCTAGGTAAAAATAACGGGGAAAAAATTATTGGTGAAGGGACACAAATTAGGGTATTATATCTTCTTCCAAATAAACTACAAAACAGCTAAGTTTAAGAAAGATGGGTGGATGTGTACAAATATGGAATGATTTATATTTTTCCATAGAACTAGAATATATTTCATTTTAAAAAGCTTAACATAAAAAAAGAGTCCTTGCTGGGCGTCGGTGGTGCACGCCTTTAGTCCCAGCACTGGTCTCCAGAGCGAGTGCCACCAAAAAAGAGTCCAAGAACCAAATTCTAGGAAGATCCTACAAAACTGAAGCTTACTTTCATTTGATTTGCAATGGTCTAAATGAAGCCAACATAGCCATTAACTAACAAAAGCTTCTTTTTTAAATAAAGATTTACACAGTGTTCTGTCTGCATGTATCCCTGCAGGTCAGAAGAGGGTACCAGATCTCATGATAGATGGGTGTGAGCTATCATGTGGTTGCTGGGAATTGAACTCAGGACTTCTGGAAGAGGCCAGTGCTCTTAACCTCTGAGCCATCTCTCCAGCCCCTAAGAAAAGTTTCGTACCACAACTTTCCATGATATTTGAGAATGCAACTATGATTTTGCATACAATTTTTTGGGGTGGAGAGGTTTCAAGACAGTTTCTCTGTGGCTGTAGAGGTTGTCCTGGCTACTTCAGACCAGGCTGGGCTCAAACCCAAAAAAAATCTGCCAGCCTCTGCCTCCCAAGTGCTGGGATTAAAGGCGTGTGCCAGCACCCTCTGGTTGCATACAATTTTTAAAGATACTGTCTCATCTTTTCATATGAATTTTAGATATCAACTTCTTTATTGAAGTTGCCAGTGGCACCATAAACTGTCCAAGTCACACTTTATTCAAACTTCCATTACCTATAAAAAATACATTAATGGTGGCACATGCCTTTAATCCCAGGCAGAGGCAGAGGCAGAGGCAGAGGCAGGCAGGCAGATCTTTGTGAGTTCGAGGCCAGCCTGGTCTACAGTGCGAGTGCCAGAATAGACTCCAAAGCTACACAAAGAAAGCCTGTCTCGAAAAACCAAAAAAAAAAAAAAAAAAAATTAAAACTAGTTCATTTCAGATGCCTTCAACTTTAATTCTTGAGGGAAAGGACAGTCTCATTTTTTTTCCTATCCAAAGAATCTAGCAACCTGTAAGAAGTGTACCTATACCTACAGCTGTGAGTGAAAGGTGAAACTGAAAGTATAAATGTTCAGGGTATCCAACTTTTGGCACTGTAATGCACTTATGTGCACATTCATAACTATCCTGGCAGCTGGAGTACCAAAGGACAGACATAGCTGGTGAAGATTACTAGATGGATTTTTCACTCATAGTTTTGGTTACTCTGTACTTCCCAGTTGTATTCTAGGTATGTTATTTTGTGAGCAAAAACTTCCCTGGCATACAGTGATGAGTTAATATATGAATAAAAAAGCACACTGAATACACCAATACTACTTGATTTTCCATGACTTCATATTCAAGGAAGGGACCGGGAGTATAATACGGAGAATATGAAATACGAAGACTAAATTAAAACAAGGTTGAGTGGTTTGATTTTTAAATTGTGATTGTTCTGTACTGCCCCCAGATCAAAGTTTCAATTTCTAACATTCAAAGATCACATGATCACAACATATGAAAACCTATGCTATATAAGGAGATTCAAACCAGAAATGTCAGAGCACTAGTGAGAAGCACAGATCTATCTTGGAAGCATATCATCTTTATAGTACTCTGACATTCCAGAATGCAAACCTGCTTTCAGATTGAATGTTATTAATGTTGTTAGTATACACACACTCACACAATGAGATGATGAGAACAAAATTACCTGCACTATTACTGTCGTCATCTTGTTCGATGAAGACATGATCCAAAATAAAGCTGAGCAGCTCAGACTGCAATGAAGAGTCCGGGGTATAAACCAATGGCTCTAACATGTCACGCCCTCCAGACATGATCTGATGACTGAAGATCATCAAGATGTCACAGAGAATAGTGAAGGCCTGTGAAAATGGAGGGGAAAATGTTAACAAGTTTCTTAGCAAATGCCATACATAAAATAGAAGAATATATTTAGCTTAAGAGGAAATCTAATGTTCTGTATTTGAAATTATTAACTTGTTTCCTTAAGATTTTAAAGCTGAGCTGGGTGCTGGTCATGACACACACCTTTAAATCTAGCAGAGACAGGCAGATCTCTGTGAGTTCTAGGCCAGCCTGGTCTACAAAGTTCTAGGACAGCCAGAGCTGTTACAGAGAAATTCTGTCTCAAAAAAAAATTCAATTAAATTAAAGCTGAAAAGCTTCATTTCTTAAATAATGACTACTAAAACAAGAAACAACTTCACAGCCGGGTGTTGGTGGCGCACACCTTTAGTCCCAGCACTCAGGAGGCAGAGGCAGGTGAATCTCTTAGTTCCAGGTCAGCCTGAATTACAGATCGAGTGCCAGGATAGACTCCACAGCTACACAGAGAAACCCTGTCTCGGGGAAAAAGAAAAAGAAAAAGAAAAACAAGAAAAAATGTAGCAATTACTAACCTGTTCCTTAACAGTAGTATTCACGTTGGTCAAGTAATGTTGACATATCTGACAAAATACCCTCATTTGTTTCTTTAAACGCAGTAAGTCCTCCTTAAAAAAAACATGTTTTAAAATATTATATAAACAACTCAGTACTTCAAAATGGTTAATAAGATAAACATTATCAAGAAAAACTATATTACCTCTATATGAAATTTTTACTTAAATTTATTCTTCATGAATAAATAAAGGAAGACAACTATTTTTCTTTTTCTCAGATCTCCACAAGGTATACTTCAAAGTACCTATTTCAAATTTCTAAATGCCACTCAAAGGACTCTAAGTCAGCACAATACAGAGATAATTACACATTCATGTTGACTGTTGCACTATTCCCATAAGTAAGCAATGGAACCAGTCTAGATGCCCAAGACCAGATGAATAGGTGAGAAAAATGTAGTATATATACATAGAAATAAAATTATACCATTTATAGAAAAATGGGTAGAACTGGAGATCATTGTGTTAAAAGAAATAAGCCAGACTCAGAAAGACAAATATTCTAGTTCTCTTATAAGCAGCATCTATACTTGTTACATTTATGTTGCTTTTGATAACTATAATTTTATGCATATATTTTTTATAAATGAATTGATTATAAGGGTCAAAATTAACTGATACAGGACAACAATATGAAGGTAGTCTATAATGAAATTATAAACTCCATACTGAAATAATAACATATAAACATACATATATATTATTAGTTGTATGCATGTTTAAACGAAACTAACTACAATTCAGTTGGGGGAGGAATAGTTCTAAAGAAAGGAAGAGGGAAGATAACATAAGGGGAAAAGAATGAGAAAAATTATGTGCTTTTTCATATACAGAATATAGATTAAATACACACACTAATACATGCACGCACATGCATGAGTACATACCATGACATGAAAAGAGAATGAGGAATATTTGGGGGAAGGAAGGGAACCAGACAGAGTGGGGAAAGGAAATGAAATGATGAGACTGGGAGTGGGAGGTGTAAGCAAATTACAACTGGCTTTATTTGCTATAGTTGACAACTTGACACTATCGGGGAATTGCCTAAATCAGGATGGCCTGCAGCCATGTATGTGAGGAACTGTCTTCATTAATAATTGACATGGCAGGGCCCAGCCCCACTGTGGGAAGGACTACCCTTGGGCATGTGGTCCAGAGGTGTATAATAAAAAGAGCTAGTTGAGCAGAGAACCAGCAAGTAATAAGCTAGTCAGCAATATTCCTCCATGGTTTCTAACTCAGCTCCCTGCCCTGACTCCCTTCAATGATGTATTGTTGCCTGGATATTTAAGATAAAATAAACCCTTTCCCCCCTCAAGTAGCTTTCGGCTATGGTTCTTACCAAAGAAACAAAAACAAACTACACTAGTAATGATACACATGAATGGAAATGTCACAACAAAAACCATTATCTTGTACATTACATAAAAGAATAGTTAACAAAAATTCAAAGAAATATAAAAACATAAAAATTAATGGGTATGTCAGGTGTTGGTGGCGCACGCCTTTAATCCCAGCACTTGGGAAGCAGAGGCAGGCGGACCTCTGTGAGTTCGAGACCAGCCTGGTCTACAAAGCGAGTTCCAGAACAGCCTGCAAACAATACAAAAAAACCCTATCTCGAAAAACCAAAAAAAAAAAATTAATGGGTATATTAATTGATAATATCCTAAATATCTCGGGAAACTTACATCCTTATAGGTGGCTAACTTTAATGAAAACACCAGCTCAGAATGCTGAGAGCAAATATTTATGACTCATTTTCACTTTATTATTTGAAAGTGGACAGTTTATGGAAGAAAATAAATGGAATGGTATCTTGTATTTCTTATTTGAAAGAGAATGGTGATAGATCTTGAAAACTGAGCTTTGTGATGTTAACAAACTTTAAATGAGAGAAAATTGAAAATAGAAAAATTCCTTCTTCAGGAAAATACTTATATGTTTTATATATAGCTCCCAGAAAATTAATTATTTAGAAAAACGAGTCAAATTAATTTTATTATCCTCAATTTAAACATGAAACATGATCTTGGGGGTAGAGTGATGGCTCAGTAGCTAAGAGCACTTGTTGCTCTTGTAGATGACCAGAGTTCATTTCCCATGGTTTCTCATAAACACCCATATCCCCAAGTCCAGGAATCCAACAGAGAAGCAAGAAATGTGTATACATTCATACAGGCAACACGCTGATTGATATTCACAACTTTAAAAATAAATAAACCTTAAAAACATTGGTTTGAAAAACCTTGAAGACTACTAATAAAGTGATCTCAGGATACAATCAGGGCAGAAGATAGTATAGAGAAAGTTGGCTCATCATCTTCAGTTTATGTAATCCAGTCATTGTAGAATTATTTTAAAGGTACTAAATCCTGTTTTACAAAATTTATCTCCCTAGGGCTGAAGAGATGAAATACCAGTTAAGAAAGAGCGCTGACTGTTCTTCCAGAGATCCTGAGTTCAATTCTCAGCACCCACACAGCAGCTTAAAACCATCTGTAGATGTAGTTCCATGAGATCTGATGCCCTCTTCTGGTGTACAGACATTATATACAGACAAAACTACCTTCCTATATCAAACAATTTTGAGAATGTGAAAAGGCAAATTTTGTCATCTTTACATGTGAACAATTTTAATTAAAAATGATACCTTGAAATAAATTAATATTCTTGCATTGAATATATAAAGTAGAAACACAACTACACATAAACATGACTTCACTGAATTAATTTGCTCTTACTAAGAGTACAAATTTGCTGAAAATGTGACTGTTTCACAGGAACACTGCTGAACTAATGCATACCTTTGTAGAACTGCTTTCAGTTACCTTCGCAAGCTGCCAGAGGATGACATAGTGAGTGCACTGCAGAGCGTGGATAACAATCTAGAATAGAGAAATAAAAGATCAGAGGTGAAATTTATCTCACAAACTTTCACTTGTCTGAGTTCAATATGGAATATAAAATAAGTAAAAACCTGTTCAGGCATATCTCCGTTTTCAATTCCGGTTTTCAAGAGTTTGTAATTACAAGCAAACAAATCCCACTTTGAAAGATCATGGGCACTGTTAAAAAACAAAACAATAAACAAATTAAGCTATATTTACAAACTAAGATAGGCCATAATTGCTTGAGAATATTATAGCATTTCCCATCAAGTGATTTTTTTAAAAAATAAAAACAAAGAATTTAAAAATATAATAACCCATAAATTATACAAGGCTATTCTTTATAGTTTTTTTTAAAAAAATCAGAAACTTAAAATATTCAACTTACTTATGAAAAGCAGTGATCCTCTTCAACGTTGATAATACCTGATATGCGTCATCTTCATCAGGTTCTTCTCCCTATGAATATTGATCACATGTTAAAAAAGACCAAAATAATAAGCCCAGTGATACACACACATGCCTTTAATCCCAGCACTCAGGAGGCAGAGGCAGCTGGATCTCTGAGTTTTGAGGACAGCATGGTCTACAGAGAGTTCCAGGACAAACTCCAAAGCTACACAGAGAAACCCTGTCTCAAAAAATCAAAAAGAAAAGAAAAGGGGGGTTGAGGAGGGAGGGAGGAAGGGAGAGAGGGAGGAGGGAGGAGGGAGGGAGGGAGGGAGGAGAAGACTGACCAAGGGCAGGAAATAAGCTGGGTATGGTAGTTTGAAGACTGGGGCTGGAGGACTGTAAGTTTAAGACCAGTCTGGTCTATATAGTGAGACTGTTTCAAAAACATATGCACCCACACATGTGAGTATACACAAAGATAAATAGCAAAGTAAAACTGTTTCTCAGTCATACAGATTAAGGAAAGAACCACGAAGTAACAAATAATAGGCTACTGAAAGAGTAATAACTTAGGTTGCAAAAAGATCACAATAAAATCCACAAACAAAGTTCATCATTCAAGACCTAAATCTGCCAAATTTAATACAATATGGAGGAGTCAACCTAAGATTATAAAAAGAAGCACATAATGAACGAGAGAATTATGCAATACAGACATAAAACTATTTATTTCAAAATGTCCTGTTTCCCAGTACTAGATGGACCACCAATAAAAGAGCCCATACTAGATGACAAGAAACCATACAACACCTGAAAACAAAAGCTAAGTGAAATGAAAATACTGTTCAAGAAAAAAATAACAAATCAATCCCACATAAATGGGAGAAATCCTATGAAATACAGTAGTCCTGACTGCTCATATTTTGGAGGATTTTTGTGAACTCTATCATCTATGATATCCAGGTCCCTCACAAATATACCATTTTATATTTTAACTTAGTTTAAAAACTACTGTGAATTTAAAACTAACTTGTTTTAGCTATAGTCTACTCAGTCAAGGGCAGACCCATGAAAATTTTTACAAAAGTAGTAACTGTATTTATATAACCCTCAAATTAGTAAATTGTAAATCTAGAATAATATTACACCTAAAAAGTAAAATAATTTTATGAAACAGGAAGTCTAGAAATTACCCCTAAATGATTTGAGGGCCATTAATCAAAATGGAAAATCAAAATGTGGAAAGGGTCTCTGAAAGAAGCTCTGGCTGGCCTGATATTCACTATGAAGTTTGAACTGGCCTCAAGCTAAAAACAACCCTTCTTTCTCACCTTCCAGAGTGCTGAATTTATCCAATTGTTAGCTCCTCCATCCACCACTAGTGCTGGACAATTTCTAACTGCTGTGAACAGCATCCTGTGGGGAATGCCTGCTGGGCATGGTGTCATATACCTTTAATCTTAGCACTCCAGAGGCAGAGGCAAGCAGATCTCTGAGAGTTGGAGGCCAGCTTCTACATAGTGAGAACCTGTCTCAATAAAAAAGGCTAAAGGAAGCAGGGTGTACCGGTGTACTCCTTTAATTCCAGCACTTGAGAGGCAGAGGTGATCTTTGTGAGTTCAATGACAGCCTGGTCTTCAGAGCTAGTTCCAGGATAATCAAAGGTACACAAAGAAACCATGTCCCAAAAACAAAACAAGCAAAAAAAAAGGCTAAAGGAAATAATTTGACAATCATTACTTGTCTGGATTCAAATAAAGGAAAACACATATATATGTATTTCTATGAAAAAAACACATATATTCAAGTGCAATAATGCAATAAGCCTCTTTGAAAGTACAACATAAGAAACTCCAAAACTTACACAGTAGCAACATAGTAAGGAACAGTGAAGACTACAATGGTTTTCCCTTTCAGTCTAACTCTATTATCTATACTCTAATAGCCACTTTTCAACTAAAATCGGGCAACTACCCAGTTAATTTCTTTAAAGCCAAAGGGAAAAATGCTGGTTTTTTCTATTCATCTTTTCAAAGTTTCATATCCTTGCCCTTTTTTTTTATTTTAGTGAAAAAGTAATAGCACTTTGATGATTTATAGAACTAAAAAGACTCACCAACACACCACTAGACTGTCATCAAGACTAACACTGAGTGACTCAGTTACTGGAAGGGAAGGGTCCAAAAACAAAATACTTGCAATATATACCTCTTGCAGAAAATCTTCAAGAAGCCGGTTAAATTTATCTGCCAATTCATCTATCAGCTGACTTCTTGAAATATCTACTCTGTTGAAGATCGTGAACTCTTCATTACATAATGCATGGTAAGTTTTAGAACATGCTTCTAAAACATCTGTGTCTGTGTGCTTCTCTACAATATTTCGGATCTGGCGCAATAAGGCATCCAAATGCTGCAAAAATAAAGTTTATTTCATTAAAACTAATAAGGTACAGGGCTAAGGATATAGCTTAGTGGTAGAAGGTATGCCCATTGTGTGCAAGCTCTATTACAGAATATACAGTAGGCATACTGTGACCATACCATACCAGCAATTGTGAGCGTTTTCAAATATACTAAATGTAAAGCATAAGACATGTATTTTCAGACACTGTTCTCGTTTTAGGAGACAAATACGCTAATTGACCCATACTTATTTCTGCAATAATAATGGAAATAAAATTACCTATCTAACAGGGGTTTGGCAGGAAAGTTAATAATTGTAAGGAACTTTCAATGGTTGTAGGAACACACAAAAAGTGTTACATGAATAATACATAAATTTGCTTAGGAATTGTTACTATCTAATGACTAATGACAAATATCCATAAATGATTAGTGAAATATAGTCATACAATTTATATAAGAGAATGAAAGTAAAATTGTGGGTATAAAGCAAAAGGGTAGCCCACTTGTACCATTCTCTAAACCTAATTGGTCTAAAATATAGAAGGCCCTAATAGATACAGGTTAACTCTAAGTACTACAAAACATTTATAATATAAGAAAGCTGTATAATAAGGGAGAATAAAATATAACATTTTCTCCTTTAAGACTTTATAACACAGAAAACTCTTACCTTTTCTAATCGTCCAGTGGTATATATCTCCAAATCAAAGTACTGAGGTAACTGCAGCAAATTGGTCACCTTTTCTGCATCTACAGAGTACTTTGGGGGGGGAGGAGATCATGTTAAAGACATTATAATAATGCTAAGTAAGAATATGCTGTGCTATTTTGAGAGAATCTGTGATTTATGAGTGACACTAAGTTATCAACACAATCTTACTTTTGCTAATAACTGTGGAAGGGCCACAGCAAAAAGTTCCGTGATTTTTGTTCTGTCATCCAACTGTGTCTTCTTCTCCTTTGCTGTTAGCACCTAAAGTAACACAAAGACTTCCATAAGCATCTACTAAGCTTAATAACACTGTTAAATCCTCAAATTTTAATTAAGACAAATAAAACAGCAATATTTTAAATGATGGATACAAAAATTTTGAGGCAGAATCTTGCATTACTAAAGACCACATTGGCTTCAATTCATTTTTTGAGCCCCTCAAGTGGTGGAATTATCAATAAATGCAAACAAGCAAGTGTTAAAAAAAATTGCCTAATATAAAACTTTAGCCCTAAAGGTAATACAAAACAACTTAATGGTAATTAAGGGTGCAATGATGCACAGTGTTCAGGAGGCTGAAGCAGGAAGACAATAGTGAGTTCAGTACTATTTTGGGCTAGTTAGTGAATACCAAGTCAGCTAGCCAAGGGCTACATAGCAAGACACTGTATCCAAAAAAGAAAATGAAAGTAAATTTAGGGGAAAGTCACATAAAATAAATAACAATCACAATCCAACTAGAGAAAAAAATGGAAGATGGGTGAGCTGCACTCTCCAAAATCCATCACAAATCTGGAAGATTCTTGACCCCTGTGACTTTTAAAGAAAGGTGAGAAGTATAGAATGGCAAGGGAGCATGTCTGTGAACAGCAGACTTGAGAGACCAGATAAAATACAGAATCAATGAACACTACATTCATAAAGAATATTACAGAATACCACAGAGAGAGCGCTGAACAGGAATAGTAGGAAATGGAGAAATCCACCCCTATAAACTACCACTAGATCCCATAAAGAAGAAAAAAGAAAGCTCCTGTAGCAGAGAGGGAAGGAAACCCATCATTTTTTTTTAGATGAAAAACAAGTTGCTTGCTGAAGGTTGCAGAAATTACCAACTGCCATTCTTCTGCAACAAAACCAATGAAACTGGACAATGAAGGAGCAGGTTAAGCAGAGAAAATACTGTACAACCACGTCTCCAAATTCCAAGGACACCCCTCACTCCAAGAGACAAGACCAGAACCAGAGAACTAAGTAAACAACCCACAAATTGGTTTTAACTGAAACTTAATGCAGAATGTAAAGTCAATTTAAGTCTGCAGACAAAGGAAACTCAAGCCTTGCTAAGGAGAAATTTCTAAATGCAATGGCAACCTCAAGATACAAAAGGGAATGTGAGGCTCAAACTCTGAGGTGACACCTTCCTCAGTGAAGGTTGACTCCAGGGTACAAGTTCAACTCCTATGGGCAACATGTTTGAAAACCACTGAAATACACTCAAACAGATCAATCGGGTTGAGCAGGTTTCAGCTGGACAAAACACACAAGGTAATTACTCTCCCACTGGTAGATTTAAGTACATAATACCGCTGGCTCTTCCATATACCTATTTAAAAATTTCTTAGAATTTTAATGAATGTTAAAATCCATCACCTTAATAATTGCACAACTCCCTGCTTCTAGTTACTTGTCCCACCACCTCCAGTATTTTTTGTTTCTGGTAAATTAATTTCTGGTCTTACAAAGCTTATTTTCTTACATTCCTATCCTCAGTAACTAATACCCAACTGCACACTATTCTATCATTGTTCCTTTAAACTCCACAATTTATTGAATTTGAAAATGTAATGGCTATCAACTATTTATGTCCACACCAGGTCTGTCTGTCATTAGACTGGGTGGCTATTGCGTAAGTGTTCTCTTGGAGTGGTGCTTCAGGTCATGCCCTTCGTCCCGAGCATTGGTTGAATGCTACAATCTATCTAGTACTACTAGAACATTTTTTAAAATGTAAACTGAAAGAACAAAGATGATCTCACGAACAACCTAATCCAAATATATAAACTACAATGCAGAAACCCAGTACACATGAAAATCCAGGGAACATGGCTCACTGACGTCACCAATCCTACAGCAATGGTTTCCAAACAGTGACTTAGATGAATAAAACCAAAGGATCTAAAAAATGATTATTAAAATGTTCAGCAAAATCAAAGAGGACACAAATCAATTCTGAAATGATTTCAAAGAAAATAAGCAAATGAATGAAATAAAGAGAGAATAAGAAAACAAATTAAATAAAGATAGAAACAATGAAAACATCAAATTGCAATTTTGGAAATAAAACCTTGAAGTAGAAAACTAAGTGGAAAGCATTACTACATATAAAATGGATCAAATGGAAGACAGAAGACCAGGGTTTGAAGACAAAGTAATTGAATCAGAATATTCAGACAACAAAATAATAAGAAAGCACAAACAGAACATGCAAGGTGTGTGAGACATCATTAAAAGATTGGATTTATGAATCTTGGTCACACATAAACAAACCAACCCAGGGAATAGTAAATTAATAAAATCATAGCAGAAAATTTTCCCAAGTTTAGGAAAAGAGATTGCCATGCAGATACAAGAGGCATTTAGAATGCCAAGCAGACAAGAATGGGAAAGAATCTTCCAATATATTATAATTAAAACACTTAATATATAAAACAAGAAAAAAACACTGAAAGCTGCAGGCCTGAAGCATTAAATCATATATAAAAGCAAGCCAATATGGTAACAGCAGTGACAACAAAAATCTTTAAATGCCAGGAGAGCATGGAATAATGTATTTCAAGCTCTGAAAGAAACAACTGCCAACCAGATTACAATATCTAGCAGTGCTAGCCTGTATAACTGAAACAGAATGAAAAATATTCCATGATAAACAGAAACTAAAGAAATAAAGACTTCTAAGGAGCACTACAAAAGATAACTTGAAGACATCTTATGCATTTAAGAAAGAAATAAACACATATATCACAGAAAAGAATAGAATGCATTAAGTAAGCAAAAGAGATAAAAGAATGTACCAACATTTGAGATTATGGGATTAATAGTAACTTTAAATAATAACTCTGAATTTTAATAACCTTAATTCTCCAAACAAAATACAGACTACCAGATTTGATTAAAATAGGACCCATTTATTTGCTGTTTCCAAAAAGCACAGCTTTACAACCCACGGAACTGGTGAAAACAAACACAACCCAGGGTGAAAGGATAAAAAAAAAATATTGAATCAATGGAACTAGGGAAAAAAAGAGGTTTAGCTAGTCATAGTAGTATCTAACAAATAAGACTTGAAATTGGCAGGGGTTATAAGTTGTTTCACACTAAGGAAACAATCTACCAAGAAGATGTAAGAATTCTAAACATACAACATCAGCACACCCAATTTCATAAAACCAAGACAATTGGATGTAGAGGAAAAGACTAACATCAACACAGTAAAAAATGGAGAACTCAACAGCCCACTATCACAAAAAGGTCATTCAGAAAAGTGAATTAATCAACTGATACTCAAGAAAGATTCATCAGAGCTAAATAACAGTATAAATCAAATGGACTCAACAGGTATCTGATGAATATTCAATCCAAAAACTGTACAGTACCCACCCCTCTTAGTATGGCCAAGAAACAAGACACAAAACATTATAATTAACAATGGACTAAAACTAGACATTAACAGCTGAGAAACTACAAAAAAATATACAAATTCATGGAAACTAAATAGACTATTGAATGAGACTCATTTTGTTTGTTTGAAAGAAGGAAAAATTTTAAATTCACAAAATTCAATGAGAATGAAAGCACATCATACCAGAACCAAAGAGATACAAAGAAAAGAGATCTAATGTGGCATGTCTTTCTGTATGTTGTAAGTTATGTTTTATTACCATTAGTTAAGAAAAGAAGCTAATTTGGTAATGGCCAGGCAGAATAGAGGCAGGCGGGAAATCCAAGCAGAGATATGGGGAGAAAGAAGGGCAAAGTCTGGGAGACAATATCCAGCCACCAAAGGAAATGTCCGAGCATCACTAGTGAGCCATGGCTATGTGGTGACACACAGATTAATAGAACTGTGTTAATTTAAAATATAAAAGCAAGTAAAACCCTGAGCCATTGGCCAAATATTTATAATTAATATTTATAATTAATATAAGCCTCTGAGTGGTTATTCAGGAACTGGCAGGCAGGAGTGAAACTTCTTTTGGGTCAAATCATGACACGGGTGACTTATTATTAGTTACTCGGCCTTAGTCTAGGCTTGTTTCTGGCTAGTTTTTTAAACTAAAATTAACCCAATTCTCTTCACCTACGTTTTGTCTCAGGGATTTTTAACTTTCTTTCTTTCTGTATGTCCTACTTTTCCTGCTTCTTAAGTGTTGGCTGGTGGCTATGTGGAGCAGGGCATCTCCCTCTCTTTCTAGCCTGTTCTGTGTTCTCTCTATCCCTCTTCTTCCCTCTCTCTCTCTCTTCTAGATTCTTCCTCCTACTTATTCTCTCTGCCCGCCAGCTCCGCCTATCCATTTAATGCCTAGCTATTGGCAAATCAGCTTTCTATTAGACCAATCTTAGGCAAGCAAGGTGAAACAGCTATACATCTTTACATCATTAAACATATTCACCATAAACAAATGTAGCAATCTGTACCTAGGTAACAAATGCAACAACACACCTTTACATGAAGTAATATTCCACAACAAAGATTTAAAAAACCAAATCACATAGATCTCAAATAACTGCGGACACAGAAAAAGGTGAAGAAGCCAAACCAAAAATCAGTAGATAGAAAGAAATAGGAATAGATCAGGACTGGGGCCGCAGAGATCTCTTAAGCAGTTAAGAGCAATAACTGCTCTTAAAGAGGACCCAAGTTCAGTTCCCAGAACATTAGGTGGGTCACAACTACCTGTAAATTCTCTAGCTCTAGAGAATCCCACACCTTCTTCTAGCCTCTGTGGGCACTTAAACACAAATGACACATATAAACACCTAAGCCTATACATACACACATAAATAAAAATCATTTAAGAGCAGGCAGGAGTCAGAGAAATGGAAATGTGAAGAACAGACAATGCAAAGAATCAATGAAGCAAAAGAATCGATTAATTAAAAAAGAAGTTGACAAGGCTTTTGCTAAACTAACCAAAGACAGAAAAAATGCTGTTAATAAAATTAGACATAAAAAGAGGAGACATCACTATACATACTAA